CTCACTCAGTTACTCAGAATGAAGAGACCCTAAGTCCGGCTCTAAGTACCATATGCTTGCCCTTTATGTAAGTATCCACTAATGTAGGCTTTCCTCGATTCAAGATCATGTAGGACTTTTGAGGAGTCATTGTGAAGGCTTTTGGGCATGGGTTGCTCAATTGTTCACATTGGTTCAATCTTCCCTTGAGCGCTTCTTTTGTTTCATTGTTGCACACTTTCGTAACTCAAATATGCATTTCACCTCTTCAAAAAGGGGGTAGAGAGACATGATGTCACTCTTTCTTTTACATTTCAAACCTTGTTCTCCTTTTTTCTACTTTTTCAACCTCTTTCAACCTTTACACTTTATTGATGTACTTTTGATTCCCTCTTTTATTCTTATTCTCTTTTTGACTTCCTTTTTGTCTTTTTCTCTTTTTCATTGCCTTCCTTTTTTCTTTGCTTTTGTACCTAACCACGTGATTTCTTTTCTTGTCTCTCTCCCCAAACTTAGACATTCGTCAATACTCAAGGGAAGATTTGGGTGCCAAGAGAAGGTTTCGTTAAGAACGGGTATAGGCATATAATTTGGTTTGAAGGAACAAGGTTTAAGGCTCAAAAGGGGTGAAATAGGGATCTTTGCCTTGGTGAGTCATGAAATTGGTTGAGATAGCAATTTTGGATCAAAAAGAGCCTACAATCACTTCTCAATTCAAGTTTTGCCTATGATTTCGCCTCAACAAACATTCAGGGCAAGTTCTAGACCATCGGCTCGGCACTTGGGCTCGCAAATCAAACTCTCACCACACTGACACTCAAGGATTGCCAAAGATGGAGTCGAGAGCCCACAAGGACCTTAGATATGATATAAATGCACAATGGCCTCACACGACCATATGACGGCTGCTTGGTCAACACAAGAGTCTCAAGGCCATGACTTTCACCATCCTAAACACAACTTGATGTATTTGATCATAAGATCGAAGGCAAATGTGCTAGGCCCAAGTGAAGCGTCGCCTGAGGCACTTTCACTAAAAGAACTTGAAAAATGAAAAAGAAAGAAAACAAAAGAACTGACTCAACCCTTAAGGAAGTTGTCACGCTATCTATCATTGGGAAGAGTCACCTGGTTCGCACAACATTCTACCCCTGGAAAGAACCGTGGCATTAAGAAAACCAAGGGCTTATTTCATAAAACCAAACCAAAAGAAAAAGCTACGAGCCTACTTTAACACTAAAACAAAAAAATTTTGCGAAAATAATGAAAATAACAAGAAAACTCAATCGAGAGCCAAATGAATATATACATAGGGGAGGTAGAATATACAACTAGAGGGAGTTCAGAATTTTAAGTTATATACAAATCCTCTATATATCAAAATGTAAAAAGTAAATAATCAAAGTATATATACAGTCATCCATAACAAAAAGTAGGACCACACCCCCACGAATAAAAGCTAGCATTGTCCCCAATGCTAACTATCAAATAAGCATCAAAATAAAAAGGGGAAGGAAGAGAAATGGCCCCTCAAGCCTAATCCACAGCAGTCTGCTGCTCAGTGGTAGTTGTGCCCTCTGTACTGATGGGGACCTCAGATCGGTCTCCAACTTGCTGCTGCTGTGGTACCGGGACATCTGCTGTCTGCTCAGGTGGTGGTATCTCAGCTGCTACTCCACTGCTGGGCTCAGATGAGCCCTCTGATGCTGGAGCCACCTCTATCACTACTCCCTCAGTGCTTGGGAGCTTCCTCTTCTTCCTCATTCTTCCCTCAGGCTGTGGCTATGGCTGTGGCTGGGATGCTGCTGCCTCATCAACTGGCTCTCCAAGCAATAAGTCAAGGGGCAACTGGTCCTTCAGAATTTTGTCTACATCTACCCTCAACTTCTTCACAGAATCCTTGGAGGCCCTATCTTTCCGCATCTTCCTGCATTCCTTCTCCAACTCCTTAAGGTCCTTGCTGTGAGCTTTTACTGCCTTCTCTAAATCATCCTGCTTTTTCATCATGGTTTCCTGGTTCTCCAGGATTTTCTTCAATGTATCTGCCAGAGAAGTGGGCACCTCAACAGTGACAGGTGCCCTCTGAGCCTCCACAATAGTAGATAAGGTGGACAACTTGGAAGTCGCAGCCGACATCTAGTTGTTCACACTAGCCAAAGTCTGGGTGAGCTAGTATGCAGTCAGTCCATAGGTCTTGGACACCGGGACCACCGGCTCCGTAGAAGTGGGAGGAGGTACGGGGAGCTGCACCGATGCCACTGGTTCATCAGACTGGCCAGCTGCAGCGGAAGTGGATGCCTCTCCTTTCTTGGCTCCCTTGGGGTTGTCCGGCCCCTGTTGAGCATACCGTGAATATGGACCCATGGGGTGTACCTCCGTGTCATAATGTTTCTTGTCTACCCCCATGTCATCAAAGTTTAGTCAGGGTTTTGGGGAAGGGATAATTGTTGTCAGTTGACCGCCCTGCTCTGTTGATTGCCCTTTGCATGATATTCCCCACATTCAATGGGAACCCTGCCATGATGGAAGCCACTAGAACTGCACGCTCGATAGGGACTGTGTTGTTATGAGTAGACGGTTCAAGCTTGGAGCAAACAAATGACAGCCACCCTCTCGCCTCGAAACTCAGGGTGTTCCTGAATATCTTGGTTGGAGGGGCCAACCATGCCGGGACAGTGCCGGGAGCTGCAATGACCTTAGCTAACCACGGGCGCGCCTCCTGGTCCAATGCCAATTTCTCCAAGTACTGGGTCTCATCCTCGTCATCAAACACCAGAAACTCATTCAGACTCTTGCCATCATACACAATAACTTTATTTCTCACTTTGGTCGTTGTGGCACCCTGGACCATGTGGTGGACGTTGCTGTAGAACTCTTTGACCATATGCTCATTGGCCATGTCCACCATCTTAGAAACATGCCCCCACCCTTTTCTTGTGACGAACTGGGCATGCACACGAGGATTGTGCGGCAGCAAGTCAGTAATAATAAATCTCCTCTCCGGGATTAGCTTCCTCAATGGCCACCAAGTACGAAACCTATTGTAAGCAACCGGGCTCACAAACCTCTCCTTCCACACTTCTTCCTTCTTTGTCCTCTCAAGTCCCCCTACTTTAGGCTCACCTCCCTCGCTCTCTTCTCTCTCACTCTCCTCTTTTTCACCCTCTTCTGCTGCACCTTCTTCCCCTGATAATGATTTTATGGGGGAAGACGAGTGCTCTCCCTCATCCTCAGACTCATCAGACGGGCCCGACACCACATTTCTCCGCTTCCTGGACGAGGCTATATTTCTTGTTCTTCCTCTGGAGATGAGGAGACTCGCACTGGGACTTGAATTGACCTCAGTGAAGCACTGGATTCTGAGGTAATGCTCTTGGAGGGGACATACTCACTACCGGAGGAATGAGATGTCGCTTTGTCAGCAGCCCTGATTATCTTCCTTGTCTCTTTCATCTGTTTCTTCTCTTGAGGGGTGAGCCTTATCACTCTCCGAACCATTTTCGTTTTAGGCTCACTCCCCTTTGATGGTTGTTTACCTTTCCCTCCTTTTTGTACTTGCTTTCCCTTTGGAGGCATTGTCTGCATAAGAATACCATCTAACGTTGTTAGTGCAAGCATGAGCGACATTACACATTGCAAATTCAAAACAGAAGACAAACAGATGTTTCAGTTTAGCTAGATGCGGCCGCACCAAAATGGCATGCGGCCCGCACTGGCCAGGACTACCCAGGTGAGCAGCCTCAGAACCCCACATGCGCCCTGCACAAAAGTGGACGCGGCCCGCATGGGGACCTAGTGCGCTCGCGCCAAAATGGATGCGGCCCGCACAGGTACTTACCAGAAAATACCAACTTTCAGACAAAAGGCCATGCGGTCTGCATGAAAATGGACCGCGGCCGCACGAGTAACATTCAAAAATTTCCCTCTCTCAGACAAGAGGGATGCGGCCCGCATTAAATTGCCATGCGGCCGCACAACCAAAACTAAAATTGACACCCCCCTGATAAAGTCCAGTGCGGCCTGCACAAGAATGGACTGCGGCCGCGTGGGGGCAAATGCGGCCCACATGAAAGTGCAATGCGGCCGCGAGGGGTTTCTCCTCAAATGCAAAGAATACGTGGCCCGCGCACCACTTTGGTGCGGCCGCCTAGGGCTAAATTGTTCGAACAGAGATGGTTTTGAAAATCACTATACAAGTTCGATCCTAACCCTAGATTTTCATCCCTATTCGATTTAATAATAATGTGGTTTAAGCCCATGCTCATGATCAGAATTCTAAGAAATTTCTACCTATTCTAAGGCAAACAAAGTAAAGAGGAAAGAAAAATCAAGAAGTTACTCTAATCATGAAAAATCAATCAAATATGAATTACAAATTAAGAATGAATCTAAGAGATGTTACCGGGTATATGCAGATGATGATTAGACTAAGCTCAGATGAGAGATGGAGGATGAACAGTGACAAGTAAGGTTTAGGGTGAAAATTTGCGGAAAGGGTAAATAGTGAGCCCACAGGTCTATTTATAGACAACGGTGGGACCCAGACCTCACCTACCTGTGCGGCCGCACCATTTTGGCATGCGGTCCGCACAAAAATGTCATGCGGCCGCATGGGTGGATTTCCACTTGACTCAGCCAAATGCAATGCGGCCCGCATGAAATTGCTATGCGGCCGCGCTGAGGTTTTATCAGAGAGTGCCAGTTTTTCCTTTTTGGCCCACGCGGACCGCACCAAAATGCCATGCGGCCGCGTGGGTATCATTTTGTAACCAAGCCTATTCAGGCAACTCCCATGCGGCCCGCACCAAAGTGAGTGCGGCCGCACAGGCACTGGACAGAGTCCTTTCACTTTACCTCCTTGCTTTTGTGCATTAATTCACATCTAATCTGCAACACTCCACAAACCATTAGCTCAAAAATCCTATCGTACGAAAGAAAAAATGCAGAAATGAAAAGACATGGGTTGCCTCCCAAGAAGCGCCTGATTTAACGTCGCGGCATGACTCAAGTTACCATCACAATCATTTCAAGTGAAGGAGCGCCACCACATGGCTATCATCGAACTTGCCCAAGTAGTGCTTGACCCTATGCCCATTTACCCGGAACACTTCGCCATTCTTGTTTTTAAGGTCAATTGCACCAAAAGGTGTAACACCAACCACCTCAAAAGGACCGCTCCACTTGGATTTCAACTTTCCCGGAAACAACCTCAACCGAGAATTGAAGAGAATCACCATATCACCAATTTTGAACTCTTTCCCTCGGACATACTTGTCATGGAGATACTTCATTTTATCTTTGTACAAGGATGAGCTAGAATATGCATGAAACCGGAACTCGTCAAGCTCATTCAATTGTTCAACCCGGAGATTAGCTGCTACATCCCATTCCAAGTTCAACTTCCTCAAGGCCCATATTGCTTTATGTTCCAATTCCACTGGAAGATGACACGCCTTACCAAAAACCAACCGATATGGCGACATACCAATCGGAGTCTTGAAAGCGGTACGATACGCCCAAAGAGCATCATCCAATTTCTTAGACCAATCGGTCCTATTTGCATTGATAGTCTTGGAAAGGATACTCTTGATTTCCCGATTTGAAACCTCAACTTGGCCACTCGCTTGAGGATGATACGGAGTGGTCACTTTGTGGTTTACCCCATATTTGGAGAGCAAAGAGTCGAAGGCTCGGTTGCAAAAATGAGAGCCACCATCACTAATTATGGCACGGGGTGCGCCAAATCGAGTAAAAATGCTCTTTTTCAAGAATGCCACCACACTACGAGCCTCATTGTTAGGCAAGGCCACGGCCTCAACCCATTTCGACACATAATCCACCGCTACCAAAATATAAGTATCGCCACAAGAACCTACAAACGGGCCCATGAAGTCTATCCCCCAAACATCAAAAATGTCAACCTCAAGAATCGTGTTAAGAGGCATCTCATCTTTCTTTGAAATTCCACCCGCACGTTGACACTCATCACATCTTTTTACGAAATCACCGGCATCTTTGAATAATGAAGGCCAATAAAAACCACAACTCAATACCTTGGACGCCGTCCTCGCCCCGCCATGATGGCCACCATAGGGCGAAGAATGGCATGCTTCCACAATGCTAAGTTGTTCTTCCTCGGGCACACACCGGAAAATTACACCATCGGTGCAAAATTTTGAAGAGATAAGGCTCATCCCAATAGAAGTCCAAAGCATCCCGTTTGAGCTTCTTCCTTTGGTTAGAAGAGAGCTCACACGGAATCACACCGGTTACCAAATAATTTGGAATATCCGCGAACCATGGCATGTTAAGCATAGAGACGGAAAGGAGTTGCTCATCCGGAAAAGAATCATTAATTTCAAGGCCATCCGAAGGCCTCCCCTCCTCCTCCAAACGAGACAAGTGGTCCGCCACTTGATTGTCGGTACCCTTTCTATCCACTATCTCCAAGTCAAACTCTTGTAAAAGAAGTACCCATCTCATCAACCTTGCTTTTGAATCCTTCTTAGTCATCAAGTACCTTAGGGCGGCATGATCGGTATGAATAATAACTTTGGCCCTCATGAGGTACGGGCGAAATTTCTCCATAGCAAACACAATAGCAAGCAACTCTTTCTCGGTGACCGTATAGTTACTTTGAGCCTCATTCATCATCTTGCTAGCATAGTACACCGGATGGAATAGCTTGTTGATTTTCTGGCCCAAGACCGCCCCCACCGCAACATCACTAGCATCGCACATGAGCTCAAAGGGTAAGCTCCAATTGGGTGCAGTAATGATAAGGGTAGTCGTCAACTTGTGTTTCAAGAGCTCAAATGCCTCCATGCACTTCTCATCGAATACATACTTTGCATCCTTTTCCAACAACTTGCACAACGGGTTCACTACCTTAGAGAAGTCTTTGATGAATCTTTGGTAGAAACCCGCATGCCCAAGAAAACTCCTCACCCCTTTGACAGAGTTAGGGGGAGGAAGCCTCAAAATCACCTCAATTTTGGCCTTGTCCACCTCAATCCCATTCTTTGAAATTTTATGCCCCAATACAATTCCGTCTTCTACCATAAAGTGGCATTTCTCCCAATTGAGCACCAAATTAGTATCTTCACATCGGGCCAAAACACGATCAAGGTTTTGTAAACACTCACCAAAGGAATCCCAACTACGCTAAAGTCATCCATGAAGACCTCCAATATTTCCTCCACCATGTCGGTGAAGATCGCCATCGTGCAACGTTGGAAGGTCGTCGGTGCATTACACAACCCAAACGGCATCCGCGAGAATGCGAAAGTACCATAAGGGCATGCAAATGTAGTCTTTTCTTGATCTTCCGGCGCAATGAGGATTTGATTATAACCTGAATACCTATCCAAGAAACAATAGTATGCCCGGCTCGCAAGTCGGTCAAGCATTTGATCCAAGAACGGCAATGGGAAATGGTCCTTTCTTGTCACCTTGTTTAGCTTTCGGTAGTCCATGCAAACCCTCCAACCCGTCACAGTACGAGTCGGAATCAACTCATTATTATCATTTGTCACCACCGTCATTCTGCCTTTCTTTGGAACACATTGGACCGGAGAGGTCCATGAACTATCAGAGATTGGATACACCACACCCGCATCTAGCCACTTAATAACGTCTTTCTTGACCACTTCTTGCATGGCCTCATTTAGTCGCCTTTGATGCTCTAGAGAAGGCCTTGCATCCTCCTCCAAGATAATTTTATGCATGCAAAATGCGGGGCTAGTACCCCGAATATCGGCCAAAGTCCATCCAATTGCCCGCTTGCGCTTTTGTAGAACTGCCAAGGTAGCATCAACCTACACGTTAGTCAAGCAAGCAGAAAGAATAACAGGCAAAGTGAAATTTGGACCAAGAAACTCATACCTGAGGTGAGGAGGAAGTGGTTTCAATTCCAACACCGGTGGCTCTTCAATAGATGGCTTGGTAGGTGGAGTTTCGCGGTTCTCAAGATCAAGAGACAACTTCCTTGGCTCATAGGAATACGAGCCCATACCATGAAGAGCATTCACACACTCCACCCTTTCAGGAATATCCTCAACATCCATATTCAAGATCACAGCCTCAAGTGGGTCTTCAACATTCGCCATGGTGCTTGTGTCATCCACTATCACCGTCGTGACAATGTCAACAAACGAGCACACATCGGTGCTATTTGGTTGGCGCATCGACTTGCATGCATGGAATACCACCTTTTCGTCACCAACAAGGAAAGTCAATTCTCCTGCCTCAACATCAACCAAGGCCTTCCCCGTAGCTAGGAAGGGCCTACCAAGAATAATCGGCACCTCAAAATCCACCTCGCAATCAAGGATCACGAAATCGGCCGGCAAGATGAATTTATCGACCCGCACAAGGACATCATCAATTATACCCAAAGGTCTCTTTATAGATCGGTCCGCCATTTGAAGTCTCATAGAGGTTGGACGAGGTTGTCCGATACCCAAAGTTTTGAACACCGAATATGGCATGAGATTGATTCTCGCCCCCAAATCACAAAGGGCCTTGGCAAAATCGGCGCTCCCAATGGTGCATGGAATTGTAAAGGCGCCGGGATCCACCAACTTTGGTGCCATAGATTGAACAATGGATCTCACTTGGTGCGTCATCTTAATGGTCTCACACTCCATAGATTTCTTTTTGTAACCAAGTCCTTCATAAACTTTGCGTACCCCGGCATTTGTTCAAGAGCTTCGACTAATGGGACATTGATGGTCAAACTCTTCATCATCTCAATGAACTTTTTAAATTGGTTGTCCCCCTTGTGTTTTGCTAATCTTTAAGGATATGGTGGAGGAGGCCTAGGCAAAGGTGCCATAGCTTTTGGCACCTCGGGCGCCGACATGTCAATAATGTGTTCCCTAGATGGGTTCACGGCCTCTTGGGTCTCCTCCTCACCCTCTTCAACATCAATTCTCACCTCATTTCTCACATTAGGATCCACAATATCATCAACAACAAATGGAGCAATATCTTCTTGCACTTCCTCATCATCAACTACCACTTGATTTCCTCTAGAGGTTTGAGCATCACCACCTCTTCCGCTTCGAGTTGTCACAGCCATCACATGTTGGTTGTTGTGCCCACCCTTGGGGTTCACCACCGTATCACTTGGTAGTGCACCCTTTGGGTGAGTATTAAGAGACTGCGAGATTTGCCCAAGTTGTACTTCCAAATTGCGGATAGAAGTGTTGTGGGAGGCTAGTTGGGCTTCCAAATCTTGGTTCTTCTTCATCATTTGCTCGAACATATTCTCAATTCTACCCATATCATTGCTTGAAGAACTCGGCCCTTGAGATTGAAATGGTGGCGGGTTGTTCAGTTGTTGATACATTGGGGGCCTTTGAAAGCCTTGCCCCTGATTCCCTTGATTTCCGCCTTGGTTGTTATTCCACCCGCCATTGTTGCCATTGTTCCAATTGTTGTTGCCTCCATTCCAATTGCCTTGATTCCCATTATTGTTCCAATTGTCCCCATGATTGTTATTATTGTTCCAATTGTTGTTATTTCCACCCCAATTACCTTGATTGCCTTGAGGGCGCCATTGTTGGCTCCTTGGTTCCCTCTATTGCCTTGGAAGTTATTCATGTATTGCACTTCTTCTTGATCGTCATACCCTTCATTAGAATAACCACCGTTTCCATCATCACAATTATCAAAGTTCTCTTAGGGTTGTTGTTGCCCTCTATTCCTTCTCCTCATCAAGTTCACCCCTTCCATAGCATTCACTTGCCTTGGGTTTTGTACTTGTTGAAGCTGTGCTTTGGCCAACTGGTTCATTGTTGTTGTAAGTTCGGCTATGGCTTGTACATGATCATCTAACTCCTTGTGCAAGTGTATAATATTAGGATCACCCTGAGGAACATTGGCACGGCTTTGCCATGCCGAAGAAGTATCGGCCATTTCATCCAGAACATCGCCGACCTCATCATAAGGTAGTTTCATAAAATTTCCACCTGCCAACTGATTCACTATGCATTGGTTGGTTGTATTGATACCCCGATAGAAAGTCTGCTGGATCATCACGTCGTTCATATCATTGTTGGGGCACTCTTTCACCATTGTCCGGAACCTTTCCCAAATTTCATGCAAGGGCTCCGTGGGCTCTTGTTTGAAGGCTAGAATCTCGTCTCGAAGAGCTGCCATGTGACTTGGCGAAAAGAACTTTGCAATAAACTTGTCCGCCAACTCATCCCAAGTGGTGATGGAATGATTGGGGAGTCTCTCCAACCAATTGAGCGCTTTCCCCCTAAGTGAGAAATGAAAAAGCCTCAATCTAAGTGCGTCCTCAGATACATCCGTTTGCTTGCTCCCCCAACAGGTATCCACAAACCCGTTAAGATGCTTGTAAGCGTTTTGGTCCGAGGCACCTGTGAAGTATCCTCGTTGCTCGAGCAAGGTCAACATAACATTAGTAATCTGGAAGTTCCCCGCCCGGATTCGGGGAGGAACAATTGCACTTGCATATCCTTGATTTGGTAATATCCGCGGTGCCACCCTCGGTGGAGGTGGTAGTGGGGGGTTTTGAATATTATTCCCATTTCCTTGAGCATTGGCATTTGCATTTGCGTTTCTACCCCCGCCTTTGTGGTTGGGGTAAAACCACCTTTTGCTCAAGATCTTCTATCTCATCCCCCACCACGTTTCCAAGAGGGTCTTGCCCGTTCAAAGCCATTAGTACCTAGATAAAATTTAACACACAACGTAAGTAACAAGAAGGAAAGAGAAGCAAAAACACACAAATAGCCCACAAAAAGTCAGACACTGTAAAGCTCCCCGGCAACGGCGCCAAAAAGTGATCGGGTCGAACTCTACCCGAAGATAGAGTGGGCGCGACAACTAATACCTAATAGTATATTGGGGTCGAATTCCTCATGGAGCTTCAAGATTGGAGCTGAGAGATTATAGGCTTAGGCATGTGTTTTAC